TTTAGTGTTCAAATGCTTTGACGAACAAAGATATGGTACTAGACACAACTGGACAATACAATAATAAGAGACAATTTATTTTAAGTCATGCCATAAGTTGCTATGTAGTATGCACAAGAAGACTTACCAGAAAGCGTAACCATTTCGTCTTGTGTGAATCCCTTATTTGCGAAGTTTCGAGTGAGTTGATCTACATTGAAGGTAGGAGGTGGCAAATTTGCTGGTATCTCAGAAGCTAAAGAAATTCTGCCATCTCTTCTACCAGCAGGAACATCATAGCCAAATCCTCCCGTCTGCAGAAAAAACTTCCAGTTATGTGCTATAATTTTTGTTTCCAAAAAAAGTGCTATGAATTTGGCATGAATGTGTACAATAATCTTAAGAGCAATAAGGTCAGTGTTTGGTACAGAGTATTTGTTCAATCTAACTCGCAGAATATGCACTAAGTGGCTTACAATTTCAACACTATCCCTTGCTGCAAAAGCCAGTATATCAGCACATGAAACAACTCCTTGGCATATAGCTTCAAGTCTAGCCTTAGCACTGTCAATGACTTCAAACCCTCGAAGGCTCGGATTATTAGCCGGAGAATCCTTCTCCGCTGTGTTGGATGGAGTCGAGTCAATCAGCACGGATCCATCACAGCCCTGATAAGAACAATAGCGTTCGATGCTCTCAAGTCATAAATTAAATAATTTTTCCTAGTAAAAACTAGCTGACCCTGGATTTATTAGGAAAGAGCATAGTTTATTGTTGTTGTTAGAAATAGTTAAAAACAAACACAATCCCAATGTAACGCATTGACGGATCATGGAAAAGTTTGGGATACTCGAATGTAAGAAAAAGACTGATTCAGAATAATTGCATGTTTGATATGCTTGACTAATAGTGTTGTAAAGGATTAAAAGAATCAAAAGAAGTAAAAACATTGTTGATTATCTTGTACACTACAATCCAATACTGCGTGCACAACACACGTCCAGTATTTACTTACCCTAACAAAGCAATCGTGGAAATGCATTCTAACTAGGCCAGCAGCCACTCCCTTGTCCCTAATAAGTGCATTTCTAACTTCTTGTTTGACAATGAACTCGGCCAAATTACAAGAACCTGCATAGAACCCTACTTGAAGTTGAGCTTCCAACATAAAAGAATGACTTAAAATCAAAACCAAAGTTATAAACCCACAAATTACTTGCTTTGAACTCATCTCTCTCTCACGAGTTAGTTTAAACCTTT